TTGTGGTTGGGTTGGTTGCTGCTATCAYTGTTGTTACTTGTTTCASCTTGTTATACATATTAGTAAAAACTGTTATTCCCTTTTACCCACATTCTTGCCTGAAAGCCTGTGATTTTCAAAGCTATAATAATTCAGAGGGAAGGGGGGTCATTCCCACCACTCCAAGGGAGGTCCCTGCCTTCATTGGCAAACACCTGTCTTTCAAACCAAGACAGGGGTGCAGGCTCCAGAATCCCCCTCCCCCCTCTCCATGCCCCACCAAACTTGCTGCATYCCCTTCCTTACAACCGCACAACATCCCTTGATTTTCCCCCAACCACACCCCAGCCTCACACACACGTCCTGACATCCTCCATGTTCCCTACATCCCTCCAAAACCCACACACCTCAATTCCTACTCTTCCATCTGCCCTGCCTTCCCCCTCCAGTCTCCTCACCTATCAGCCCCACATCCACCCAAGCACAAGATCCTCACACCCCTCAGCACCAACCCCCCACACACTCTTGCATGCTCTCACAGCCCCCTGCATCTCCCCACACACCCCAGAATGCCCATATTCCCTTCTGAATCCTCCCACATTCCCCTCCATCCCCCCCATCAGCCCTCCCCATCCCACTGTACTTCTCCATCCACATCCCCACTCCACCCCCTCTGCAATTTCCCACCCTCCAGAGGGGAAAAGGCAGCATAAAGTCTGTATTTCTGGGGGTTTTTTTTGTGAGAAGTGCCCACATATCATTGTTCTATGATCAATTTTTTCTTCCAGAAGGGTGCAGCAGACCTCCCCTTGCCTTGCAGATGTGGAGCAAAGCMAGGGCAAGGGCACTGCTCCCCAGCAGCAGAGCAGCGTCTCACAACTGTGTCCTGGTGTCCGGTCTGCTCCTGACAGGGCAAGCACTGTCTCTGCATAAACACCCACGTCATTAATCTTCAAATCCCCTGGCTCCAAATTTAAATTGACATTGATAAAAAAGCAGAATTTTCTCAGGTTTCTTTGAGATGCTTCATAAATAGGGAATTGAAGATGTTTGAATTGGAAACTTACCTCAAATGGATTTTTGATAAGAAAACCATCAAAATGTTTGCTGATTACCTGTGACCCGAGCAGCATTCAAACACGGAAGGACCCACTTTTCCAGCCTTCAATCTACACCCTTCTGCTTTCTTTGCAGAGAAAACATGGGCTGTTTTACCTGTACTGGGGTTATTAAAATGGTGGGTTTYCCTAGTGTAGATGCATTTCTGCCAGAATAAATGTGTCATATTAACTTATAATGTGTCGTATAACTTATTTACACATAGKCAAGAGAATAACCATCAGGTGTATGAGCTACAAATGTACTTTACTGGTCTTGGAATTATACAGCACTGGGGAACCTCCCTCAGGGTAGGGAAGCAGCTTTGGGGTGCTGCAGAGCGAGATCATTCCTACAGGCAGAACAGGACTCTGAGAAGGCACAGTGCTGAACACAGCCAYCCAGATGTTCCCCAGGGCTCCTGCTGGGCGTCTCCAAGCATCTGAGCTGACACAGTGCTACTGCTGAAGTGTTGAGGRTGTGGGTATCGCCCATCACAACCTTACAGCACCCGCACAGGTTCATCGCAGCTGTGAAAGGTAATTAGAAAATGAAACGATTATGCTGCACCATCCAAAATTGTCCATCAGCACTAAATCTGTGCGCAGGTGGGGCCTGCTGTAATTTCCTTGGGGTCACTCGTGGGCCAGCAACATCTATGGATGCTGGTTAAGATGACCCCCCTGGCCCTGATTTTTAATGTACTGGGATATTGTCAAACACATTTGGAAGGGCTGTCGGCTGGTGGCACGTGCTTTCGCTTTTCGAACAGGATCACAGAATCTCAGAATGGTTTGGGCTGGAAGGGACATTAGAGATCGTCTCATTCCACCCCGTGCCATGGGCAGGGACTCCCCATCCGTCTGAGCACTCCTCAGTGGGACCCTGCTGCCCCCGGCTTCCAGCTGCTGTCACTCCAGCCAACCCAGCAGGCAGCCTACCTGCAGAAGCTGTGGGAAATTAAATTCTGTCAGAAGTAATACATAAAATCGTCGAAAGATAAAATAATCAAAATGTATGTGTGTGTGTGCGTGTGTGTGTGTGTGTTTGTATGTGTATACATATTACAAGAAACAAAATAAAACAAAACAAAATCAATAAAAAAATCCCAATGGTGAGCTATATTGTCAAATAATTCTAACGGGCTTCTCCTGTGCTTGAGAGGATCCTRGGTTTCATTAGCATCGATGAGGAAGCGGGAGGGCTCCTCGGCTCGGCTCACACCCGCTCGGGGCTGTAACCACCTCCTCTCGAAGCGAAAGTTTCTCATTGAAGTCGTGCCTGAAGCACTGCTGGGCAGGCGGCGCGGCTGGGAGCCCGTGGGTCGGAGGTGCAGGGTGCTCATTCACAGCCTGTTCGCACTCCGGGCCTCGCTCCCCGGCAGCGGGAGCTGCCTGTCCCGTGTCCTTGGAGTGTCCCGCTGGTGGATGGCCCTGTCCCACCTGGCCTGTCCTGCCGGAGGGAGTCGTCGTCTGGGAGACGGCAGAGCAGCGCGGGACAGTGCAGGGGGTTCCGGGCACTGGGTCAGCCCCACTCGGGACGGGGCTCTCGGGCACCTGCCAGGGATAGAGAAGGTCGCCCCGAGCCCCTTCGGGTTTTTTCCTACTTCGGCACAACAGGAAAAAATTTAGCTCTGGGTCCTGCATGGAAGGCACGGAGAGAGGCCCCTGCGCGGGTGTGCAGCCCCAGGAGCCGGGGCCTCTCCGTGCGCGGACAGAGGGGCGGCGGCTGCTCCTGCGGCCGGCACGGCCACCCCGGGGACCCCCGGCAGCAGCGGACCCGCTGCTCGGCCCCGGATCGGCAGAAAAGCGGCTTACCAGAGCATCCCAAACCCCTTTCTCACTGTCTATGAGGAAGAAATAAAACCAAACCAAACAATCGTGTGCTGAAAAAAAAGACCACCTTATGATCTGAGTAAAAATAATAATTCCTGTCACTTAATCAACTACGAAAAGCAAATATTGATATTCTCTCGCAAATGCGATAGAACGGAGTGAAGCCCGGTTATTCCAGCTCTCTGTGTGACATCAGTGATGGATACAGCCTGTCGTCCTGTTGCATTAGATTAATGCGACAGTGAATCCCTCTTYTAATTGAAAGCGGTTGCTGCTCTCACGGGCGCTGAAAGCTCCAGAAACAACAGCCGGAGGTGACAACGAAGTGACAAAGCCACACGCCCACCKTGTCCAGCCGGCGCTGAAAGATCCCGCAAACCCCCGGCTCTGTCCGCCCTGCCGCCCCTTCCCTCCTCCCAGCAATCATCCTTATCCCCTAAATTAAACATTTCCGACTAATTGTTTGGTTAAATATCTTAGTCACGTCACTGTAAGAATACGAGGTGGTTTCCTGCTTACCCGGCACTGGCCGTATCCCCCACCGCTCATCCCGGGAGTTGATTTACTTCGAGATGCAATCCCGGGCAGGTCCCGAGCCGGGCCGCGGGAGGCAGTGGGGCCGGAGCCACGGAGAAGAGAAACAAGGGACACTGGGAACGACCGGCCATGAGTTCAGCGCGGATTCACCTCGAGGGCTCCGCCGACGGCCWCTCGGGGCTATTTCGGGTTAAAGCCCCTCGATATCGCTGTGCTACTCTCGCACCGGCCGCAGTCTTCGTGCCCTAAGCACGGGCCGGAGCCTCCCGGAGCCGGCTGCGCTGYCCCGGGGACAGGGAGCCCCGCACACCCTCCCGGCTGGCCCTTAGGGCACCCCGCCGGGGACAGGGAGGCACCGACGAGCCCCGAGCCGCGGGCGCTAATTACCACCGTTAATTGGGAGGCGCCCCTCAGCAGCGGCTCAGCCCGGGGCTGTCCCGCCGCTCCCCTGCCGTCTCTCTGCCTCTCACCCTTCCCTGCGGTGCTGCTCTTTTTCTTTTTTCTTTTTTTAATTTTTTTTTTTTAAGTAGAGTAGCGGTAATTGCATGTCTGGTGGATGCTCTATAATTTAACAATCCAACGAAAAACTCATRGAGAAGGGATTCGGGGAAAACAAACGAAAAAAAGAAATTATAAAAAGAAACAACCATCCGAACAAAGCGCCAGGATTTCATGCGACATCGCAGCAGCTCATGAAGAGCATTTTTTAAAAGTATTATTTAGGATGCTCAATGAGGAAGTTAATCAACCTTTTGTCAGCAACTAAAGCATCTTCAAAATGCAAAAGCATCCGAATATGACCTAGGAAAGACCGAGGGTCTGGCCTCTCCCGGCCACAAGCAGCGGAACCGTCGTGGAAAA